ATAATCACAGTTTCTAGGGATGAGTGTGGGTCTGGTTCTTTGGGGAGGAACCGGTGTTCTGCCTTCCATTAATAAAAAGGGACTCCTGGTACTAGGCCCCGTTCACGCCGATGTCCTGCTGTGGCTTTCTGCTCTGAGTTGGTGGTAGGAAAGACCACCTCCAGCAAAGAAGTCTGCTGTTCTTTGCTCTCTGCTCGCAAGGACTTTATCCAGAGAAAACTTGTTTTTCCTACCATTTACCATCCACTATGGAAAGAGGTAAAGAATATCTTTTAAAAAAAAAAAAAGGGTTTGAGACTAAGCAAATGAGCATTAAGCCCCACTTTTCTTCACAAGCCCCTTCAGCTCTACATGGCTAATTTAATCTTTCAGAATCTCCCTTTTTTATAAATTGTTTTTGTAAAGGTCAGATATCATAGCCCTCTTTTTGTTAGAGCTGTTTTGAAATAGAATAATAGAATGCTTCAGAAACTTTAACTGTTGTATTTTCTTATCCAACTTATTCATCTCATACCAACAAGTTTTTATTTAGAAGGCTCCAGCCTGGAACTTGGCGCCATGTTCAGGGGGCATTTGGAAGATGTTTAGAGCATGTCCCTGGCCTCAGCTTGCAGTTTCGCAGGAAAGAAAACCCAGAGCTAACTGACAGCATGCACACTGAGCAACTGAAGATCAGCCCTCACTGGGGGACGGAAGATGTGAGTGCGACACAGTCTTCATTTGGACCTTGTCGCTGGAGCCTCCGAATGACCTGTGTCCCTTAACTCCTCCTGTGGGAGAGGGCGTATCCCTGCCCTGGGAAAAGAGCAGCTGAGCAGCATTTTTCTCTAGTGTCTGCAGGCCCCAGGGCTCTGTTCTGCCACTGGCATGTTTGACTCCATTACCCTCCAGAATCAGCTCCATTCTTCCTGACATTGCCCATGTGCAAGCCCTGATTTAGACTCCAATACTGGATTCCTTTCCTGGAACTCCAGACCCTTCTGTGTCAGGGGCTTTACCTCATCTGCCTTCTCATCCTCTCCTGCTCTTCACTGTAGCTCCTCACTGTGGCCCTGGCTTCCAGTCTGGGCCTCCTTGACATATGCCTACTAGTCTTCATTGATGGTCCTTGGATGGAGGTGGGGGTCTGAGGAGGGCCTCTCCTCCCTGGTCCCATCCCTTCCCACCTCCTGATGAAAACTGATGAACATATCCCACAAAGATGAAAGTTAGGTTGTATTGTGAGGGCCTCACTAAATGGAGAGAAAGTTGACTGTGACTCTAGAACCAGGTGTTTGCTGGGAAATTAGCTGGGATAGACATCCAAGGTTAGAAAACCCTAAAGCATTTGTTTTCAACGGAATAACTGTCTCTCTGGGATATTTGACAGTATCTGAAGACATTTTTATTAATTATTATAGGCAAGTTGAGAAATGCTAATGATCTCTAGCCACTCAAGGCCCGTGAATGCTTCCTACCAACCTCTACAGCCTCTACCACAGGGAATTATCTGCCCAACTTGTCACAAGTGTCAAGATTGGGGACCCCCACCCCCACCGCCATCATGCTGATCTGGAAAGTGTGCAGTTGATGGCATAAAGTCCACATTACCTCTATTAAAATTTGTAAAAAGTGACTTTGCCTGGACAGTTGATAGGGATCTGATCTGCCACCCAAGAGTGTTTGAATAATTCAGCCTTGAAGAGACGGGGATTTTAGACCAGCATAGAGATGGAAATAAGGCCTTAGGTAACAAGCAGACAAGAGAGCAAAGGAAGGATTCCCAGCTTGTGACATGATGGCAGGGCAGCCTGACACCAAGTGTTGGCAGCCCCTCAAGGAGACGAGAAAGGGTTTGTGGGTTTTGGAGGCCTGTCCTACTTGTCCCTGGAGTCTGGATCATCTCAGATTGTCTAGCATCTGAACAGTGTTGACTGGAGCGGATGAGTTTCCCCTGATTCTGGCAGTAAGCTCCGTGTCCAAGTGCAGGCGGGGACTGCCAGCTCGGTGGTGTGGCAGCTTTGCCTGCTGCCAGATGGAGGAGACGCACATTCCCTCCATTACAGCGTCTGTCAGTTCTGAGTTAGTGTTCCGGAGGAGACTCCTCTCCCAGCCACTACGGAATGGCTCCAGACCACATCACTGGAGCCGTAGGGAGCCTGCATTTATGGTGTTGAGGAGGGCCCCAGAGGAGGCCGTGTGTGTGTGTGTGTGTGTGTGTGTGTGTGTGTGTGTGTGTGTGTGTGTGTGTGTTCTGCCCAGTTTGTTGGTCTTGCTGAACAAACAGCAGCAGAGATCAGAATCAAAGGAGCTGGTTGAAGAGTCAGATTGTGTCTAAAGATACATGCTCTGTGAGCAGGGAAGACGCCCTACTGCTCATTCATTTTTAGCTCTTTCAAAAATAGCCCTTCTTGGTTTAGGTGGTATTTCAGCTCCAATATGTAAAGGTGTGCATTGTTCCTGAGTTACTTTTGAAGCTTGCTTCTGGAAGAAAGATGCACTAATGGAGAAGTTCTGGCCAGTCAGTGGCCTGTTGATTTTAGCAGACAGTGAGTGACGTGGCGTTCGCCTCTGGGAAACCATGAGTGATGTGAATGAAGATGGACATGTCCTGTCATGGAGGTTTCTGTTTGGGGCACACCATAACCAAAATTTGTGTTTCATTTCCACAAGCTGAGTCTTCCCAAAGTAGAGCTTTTAGTTCGCTTCCGTCTATTGTCAAAGCCAGTATCAAAAATCTCTACTTGCCACACATTTCAGGAGGGCCTAGAGCTTGGACGTTCAGTCGGATTTGGCATGTGGCACACACCAGGAACAGCTGTGTGGTGTGGTTTGTGAGGAGGCTCTTGTTTTCTGACTTTTTTTTTTCACCCTTACTTGAAATCAAGATTTGTGTTGCCAAGATGTAATTGTAACCATCTGGCTGGTTCTGTATATTCACAAAGTTTACTCAACTGTGCCCTCAAGTCGCCACTATCCACATCCGCACACGGTGGCGGCGACTATGGACCTGTGTTTTTGTGACGTTCCACACACACTCTGACTCTGCCTTTGGTTCGGACTCCTTTCAACAGGAAGGGAATTTGAAACATAAATTCCTTCCCAGGAAATGGGGACACTGAAACTTCTAAACCTGGGTACTGAGTTTCAGCTCTTGCGATGTTAGTGTCTTTTAAAAACATGTTTAACATCTAATGTTTTGTTTTTGTTTAAAAGTGTTTTCACTTTTTGCAAACAGACCATGGCAAATGGTTTTCTTACACAGAAGGACTGAGCAAAGAGCACCCTTGAACAGAATGAAAGCGTGGGTATGTCGAGGAGGATGTTTGCAGTGTATGTCCGCAGGACATCCATATCAGTTTAGCCCTGCCTGACTGTCGGGCTCTGTGCTGGGCTCCAGAGTTGCAGAATTCCTCTTGTTCACAGTAACCTTTGTTGAAAGATTGCGTAAGTGGAAGGCACTTAATTGATTGTTGAGGACAGACGTTAGCAAACCATGGACTGCAGCTCGGGGAGACAGTGAGTGAGCTGAAAACACTGAGACCAGTGGCTGATCTCAGGATGAGGAGGCAACAGCGGTCCTCAGCCACGATGCTAGCTGCATGAGTTTGGAGCATTTGTGGGGACGTTTGGCTAAGGAGGAAAGCAGCTCTCGTGGCAGCATTGGAGTGTGTACAAAGATGCGCTTGAGGCATTTATCCAACGCAGACCATTCAAAACACCGGAACAAAGGCTGCAAACCCCTGATCAGCAAAGTGCCCAAGACCAGAGTTAATGAACTTCATTGAACTCCTGAGAAATGATGGCAGAAGCTAGACACGAGTTGTGGGGAAACTCTGGCAACAAAATTTTGGCTAACGCTAGGATGTGACAGATCTGGGGGAAGAGTTGACCAGTAAACCAAACTGGAAATGGTGATGTCTTTGTCACAGAGAGTCAGGGAAGCAGAATCCAATTCTTTAGTCACAATAGCTGGCAGGAAGGCTGCATTTACTTTTTAAAAAATTATAAATTTTGTTTATTTAATTTATTATGAGTCTCCTGTTCTCTCTCTCCCTCTCTCCCTCTTCCCCCCATCTGTGTGTGTGTGTGTGTGTGTGTGTGTGTGTGTGTGTGTGTGTGTTCATGCACATGCATGCCATCATGCCATGGTGCACATGTGGAGGGCAGAGGATAACTTGTAGGAGTTGATTGTCTGTTTCCACCATGGTCCTGGGGATCAAACACAGGGCACTAGGTTTGGTGGCCAGTGCCTTTTTTCCTGAGCTGTCTTGTTGACTCTAAAACTCTGACTTTCTATAAGATCACTGGTTGCCGTTTGGCTAGGTCTGGTGCTGTTGTCGAGGTGTGGCTCTGTGGGAGGAGACAGGTGCTCAGGAGAGGCTAGCCACGTTGGATTTGAGCCATCTGTGGGGCATCCGCAGGAAGAAGTGCGGCAGTCCATTGAGGAAATGAGTCTCAAACTGAAGTCCACGCAAAGTAAAGATTTAGAAAGTGAACCACCGCCATATTGAACTGGGATGACTGCGAGAGGAGAGCGAGAAATGGTGGGTGGAAAATAAATCTGAAAGAAGTGATTTCCTCCTCTTGACAGTTCCTGCCTACAGGAAAATAGCCCATAGCACAAACTGTAGATAACCAGTTTCTGTGGTACGTTTCGGCCTACTTGACCTCTGTCCAGCCCTGCAGGGCCACAGGTGAAGAGAGTTCTTAGCAATGACAATAATAAACTCCTGACTCATGGAGCGCTTCCGGATAGTAACCACGTATGGTAACGGAGAGGGCCAGGCTATAGCTGATCAGAATCTTGGTCTAGAGATGTTAAGCCACGGATCAGGGAGCGTGGCACTAGAGCTGAGGACCAGGTGTTTGCACTTCTCTAGACCCTGCTGTCCAGATTAGCTGTTCCGTTGGGGGGAGTTCTGACATCCCACATGGCTACCTCCTCGTCTATAACTCAGTGCAGCTAAAGCCTTTGGGTCCTGCAAGATTTTTAAAATTATACTTGATTTTACTATAAGATGGGAAACACCCTTCCTAGAGCTACTACAGTACCGAGCCAATGTGTGGAGTGGACATAACAAGCTACTCCATTTTCCTTCTCTAAAAATACACTTAATATTTCATTCTTAGATAGAGGGGTGCATCCAGTATTAAACTGACAAGAACAATGACTCCACTTGATCTCAGTCAAAAGGCCAAGAAGTTCTGTGCATGACTAAAAAAATAAAAACAAAACACTTTATTAAGATATACAGGGGCTGGAGAGATGGCTCAGTGGTTAAGAGCACCGACAGCTCTTCCAGAGGTCCTGAGTTCAATTCCCAGCAACCACATGGTGGCTCACAACCACTTGTAATGAGATCTGGTGCCCTCTTCTGGCCTGCAGGGACACATGCAGGCAGAATACTGTATACATAATAAATAAATAAATCTTAAAAAAAAAAGATATACAACGTGGTGTTTTGATATACACATATACTATGAAATCAAATTAAATTTTTGATGGGTTAGATATAGGTACATTCTGTTTTTGCAAGCCCTGAATTTTGATAGATTTGGTGTTGAAGAAACACAATGAGTTTCTTTTAGCATTTTTAGGCGACATGTGCAGAGGGCTGTTCCGAATTATTAAAATGGGCAAGGAAGTAATGTTTTTCAGGGTAAGTTATGTGGAACTCTTCTGGCAAGAAAGTTTACATGCTTCAAAAATAGGATGTATTTTCTATTTCTGAACAGCCATAAAAATGACTGTGCTGTGTAGTGCTGTGGAATGCTTTGGAATCCAACATGCAGAAGCTGGCACCTGCGTGTGTCCAGCCTTAAGCTGCAGAGTCATCATGGCCATTTTTGGAGCAGTAATAATACCTTTTTATAGAGTGCAGACTGATCAAAGCTCGCAAGCCGTGCTGCTTCACAGCTGTTAGGGTCTTTACAGTGCTGGGCCTTGTCCCTTCCGCCCCACTTGGTAGCACACGCCAGCCCCTTCCTTCTCCCTCCACCTGCCAGTTTGACTTGGCTCCCTGCTGCATTTCTCTGACTAGTTACTGACCTTCTAAAGACACAGCCTGGGATTCAGAGACCAAATCATGTTTGCAAAGGGTGGCCTCCTTAACTGGGGGGCCGTCTTTGACCATGATTATTTTGGCTAGTTTTCAAACCCTGTAAGTTGTTGTTATTTTGGGTAGACTATTGTGAACAAGGACTGGAGTGGTTGTCTCAAAATATGCTTCCACTGTGAGGTTCAGAAGTGTGCTTTGGTACCTATGCTGGCACAGACAGTTAAAGTTTTCGTCTTTCTGTGGACAGAAGCCATTGTTCTGAGAATGCGGTCACATATCACTGAATGGTGGGGATGATGTCTGAGAAAGGATCCAGGCAGTTTGGTGATTACGTGGACACCAGCGAGTGCGCTAACAGAGAGTGAGAGCACCGTGAAGCCCCTCTTGTATATACAGCCCATTCCTTGACTCAAGTGTTCTGTAGTTGAGTAGGGTGTTATATGGCCTTTTCAGAGGTAGGATGGAGAGAGGGAGACTGGGAATTATGGAGAAACAGCTTGTGGAGATTGAATCCAAGTATGGTGAGGCCCTGAGCAAGGCAGTATCTTGGATGGATTCTAGATGTAAGTCAAAAAGAGCATATAAAACAGGGACTCTGGCTGAGCTGAGCTCTGTGTGTTGGCGGTAGAGACCATTGCTGTTAATCCACAGTGTGGTATCTGTCAAAACCTGATTCCCATCCTTAACCCTACTCACCTACCAAGGAACTGTAGAGGTGTCGTCTTCATGTCATGGAAGATGTTAAAGTGGCGGCCTCTGCCTGCCTACATGGAAGAATCTTGTTTAGCAACTAAAGGCTGATGATATGCCTGGTGTCTTAGTTACTATTGCTATGAAGAGACACCATAACCAAGACAAGCCCTAGAAAGCATTTAATTGGGGCTTGCTTACAGCTTCAAAGGATTAGTCCATTGTCATCGTGGCAGGGAGTGTGGTGTAGATAGGCAGGCATGCTGCTGGAGAGAGGTACCTGAGAGCTTTACATCCTAATCTGCAGGCCACAGGCAGAGAGGTGGAGAGGGAGGGAGTTAGGAGAGAGAGATTAATAGAGACAGACAGACAGACAGATAGACAGATTGAGACTCAACCTGTTGTGGGTTTTTGAAACCTCCAAGCCTACTCCCAGTAACACACCTCCTTCAACAAGGCCACACCTCCTTCAACAAGGCCACACCCCCTAGTCCTTCTAAACAGTTCAACAACTAGGGGCTGAGCATATGAGCCAATAGTAGGGTAGGGGGTGCATTCTCTTTCAAACTACCACACCTAGAATCATGAAATGTCAGCTAAAGTTGTTTTGGAATTGTTGGCTTACTATTCACCTAAAATCCAAAATCCTGTAACAAAAAACATTGTCATGGTGCCATAGGCCTATCATCCTAGCACTTGGGAAGCTGAGGAGGGAGAATAAGGCCAGCCTGAGCTACAGGAGAACTTGTGTCTTAAAAAAAGAAAAAGAACAAAAATTCCTATGGCAAGGGAAAAGTTTTTGGGTCCTGGAATCCGTTAAAAAGCAGCGCTGTAGTGTTGATAGTGACAAGTGGAAATAGTAAACCTATTGTATTCAGATTGGAAGAGTTGTATCTACCCTGCATTCCAAAAGGAGTATTGTAAAGGAGACATTTGTTTTGTCAATACTGGGAACCAAACCCAATCCTTTAACATGTCAAGCAAGTGCTCTACCACTTGAACTACATCCCCCAGCTCCAACTGCTTGGTTTTTAATAATCAGGTTACAGCTCCGCTTAATGTCATTTACCCAACAGGGAGATGTATCCCAAACCGTATTAGGGCAGGAAAATTCAACTGCTGGGCTGGGTAGAAGCTATAAAAGTACATGGAGTGTGAAAGGCCAACACATATCTTAGAGTGGGCAGTCTCTAAGGCACTCACAGTTTCACTAATAATTTACCTTAAAAGGTACAAAGGTGGTTGATTTTTGTGGCACTGGAGATCAAACTCAGTACTTAATACAGCTAAGCAGAGCTCTGCCTCTGAGTTAAGTCCCCAGCCCCAAAAGATGAGAAGTTTTAAACATACTGAAATGGATGTCTAAAATGAAAAGTAAGAGAACAACTCCGTTTGGTATCATCTATTATCTAGTTTCTGCAATAAAGCTCTCCTGTTGGCAGACCACTTTTGGCCCCCCAAGTCATCCCTCAGACATAGCCTTTCATTCCACAGGCCATCACCTATGGCACCATTCTCCAATGTAGCCATAGGGGTCCTCTGGCAGCATTGACCTCAAGGGCCTGCAATGATTTCAGCATAGATTGGCAGGTCATCTACCTTGTCCACTGTGGGTATTGTGTTTGTGGACTCGGAGCTTGGGTGAGACCAAAACTCCTCAGGGATAGGTTAAATCAGCTACTACCCTGTGTTTGAGGACACAAAGGCACATGCTGAAGACTTCAGAAGTTTCCTTCCAGACTGTGGAAAATCAAGGTTTCAGGGCAAGAATTATACCTCTCAGCCATGTTTATATGAATTTGAAGTTCACAATAGTCTGTAAGAATAAGAGACCTTGTTTCTTCCTGGCCACTCACTAAGCGAGTAGTAACTGAGCAGAGCACCCTCCCTGTGTCCTAAGAGCCAGGTGTGAAGGTCAGAATGGCCTTAGGAGATGTGGACGGTCACTAGAGCTGCTGTGACATTAGGCAGTTAGTCTTTTCCTTAAACCCACAGCAGCTCTGATGGCCTTGTCTTCTGCCTATATCACGGACTCCGGAGAATCTTGGTTAAGGTGACTATTGGCATCCATGGTTTCCTCTCTCCTGAAAGGTGGTGGCTTCACGAAGGAGTCTTTAGATGTTTCTAGAATGGTGTTAGTGAGCTTCAGGTCACGGGCTAGCTATAAATGGTGGCCCTGGGTGGTAGTGGCCACGTCAGTGGGGAAAAGAATCATTGTGCTTTTCATGAAGTTTGACAAGTATGGCCACTGAGATACACCACACATTTCCAAGCTCTGTGGACTGCCTTCAAGCAGAATAGCTGTTGCCAGAAGTACCCAGCTTCCTTCGACCCCAGGAGGCACTGTCATTGGGTGGGGACAGCATGTGGGCCCAGCCTTTTGGGCTGTGTATAACCAGCACAGCTGCCAGACTGATCATTGGGAACTATTTCACTGGACAAGTCCAGCCTGAATTACTGCAAAAAAAGACCATTTTGGCTGCTCTGTCTTTACCATTGCTAATGAAGGTCATTATGTCTCTTGTTTACAGAGCAATCACGCTATCCATGCTGTCAGAATGAGCCATATCCCAAAGGATGCTGTGTGATTTAGAGGCTCCCCAGTCATAAAAGGGGAACATGGCTTTGAGACTGTAGCAGAAGTAAGCACTTTGTTTTTAAGCAAGCTTGCAGAAAAGAGGATTGAGAATTACTGATAGTTTTAGGAGTTTTAGAAACAAGGGTGGGGATGGGAAGATGGAAGTGCCTGCTTTGCAAGGAAGAGGTCTCAGGTTCGGATCCCAGCACCAACATAAAAAGCTAGGTGTGGTAGCACTTGTCTTAACCCTACTCCTGAGGTGAAGGGAGGCGGATTCCCGGAGCTCACTGCTGGCCAGCCTAGCTGGATCAATGAGGTCAAGGTTCAGTAACAGATCTGGTCACAGAGGGATGGAGAGTGGTTCAGTGGGGATGAGCACCTGCTGCACTTCCAGAGGACCAGTTCCCAAGCGCATGTCAAGTAGCTCACAAATGCCTGTAACCGCAGCTCCAGCAGATCCAGTGACCTCTTCTGGCCTCTCCAAGCAACCCTGCACATGTTGCACATACACACACACACACACACACACACACACACACACACACACACACACACACACTTTTTTAAAGTAAGATACCAGGCATCAACCTCTGGCCTTCATAGGTATGCATGGGAGGGAAGGAGGGAGGGTGCATGGCTCAGAATTTTACACCACCATACAAATGTCATAAATAGACATGCAAAATAACCAAGACATGATATATCATTTTAACAAATAGTCTCATTAATGATAGGTATACAATAGTATACCAAATTAAGTGAATCAAATGTGGAAATCTACTGAATGCAGTACCTGTGCTTTCATATCATTCTACCTGTCCCAGCTCATGTGCCCATCTAAGCCATTTTGTTGATGGCATGTAGTGGCTCCTCTGTTGGC